CTTCAGTTGGGATATTGATCCCATCCTGTCCTCTCTTCCCACGCAGGTGCCAGAACTGGGAGGGCGGCATCGGTGGAGTGCCGGGGATGGAAGCTCACGGTGGTTACACCTTCTGTGGCATGGCAGCGCTGGTGATCCTCAAACAGGAGCATCTCCTGAACCTCCGGAGCTTGCTGGTGAGCACCTCCAGCCCCTACCTCACCGGGATGGGGGGCTCTGAGCCCCACCTTGGCCTCATGCTGCTCTGTCCTGCCCAGCACTGGGTCACCAGCCGGCAGATGCGCTTCGAGGGTGGCTTCCAAGGGCGCTGCAACAAGCTGGTGGATGGATGCTATTCCTTCTGGCAAGCTGGGCTCCTGCCCCTGCTGCACCGAGCCCTCCACGCCAAGGGTGAGTTGGCTGTTGGGGGGCTCCTGCCTTCCTCTGCCCCCCAGAACAGCAGCTTTGGTGGGGGTGGAGGTGTTTTAGGAAGGGAATGAAGCGCAGTGATTTGGGTGTCCCTGTTCCGAGCGGGAGCTGCTGCATCAGGGGGACTTTGGAGGCTTGGTGGTGTGGAGGAAGCCCTGAGGGGGGGATTCCCACCTTCTTGGGGTCCCCCCCATGGATTTTACCACCTTCCCTTCCCCTCCAGGTGACCCAGCACTGAGCATGACCCACTGGATGTTCGACCAGTCAGCGCTGCAGGAATACATCCTCCTGTGCTGCCAGTGCCCGGCCGGGGGGCTGCTGGACAAGCCTGGCAAGTGAGTACCAGGCTTACGGGGGCTGCCTGGTGCCCTGGCCCCTCGCTCAGCACCCCAACATCCCCTTTCCCATCGCCAGATCCCGGGATTTCTACCACACATGCTACTGCCTGAGCGGCCTGGCCATAGCGCAGCACTTTGGCAGCGGTGACCTGCACCACGAAGTGGTCCTGGGTGCCCCCGAGAACCGCCTGGTAGGTGCTGAGCGCCGCTGTTGAGCTCTGGGTGTGCTCCCCATCACCACGAGCAGGCTTGAAGCACCCTCTCCTCTTGCTTCCCCGCAGCAGGCCACGCACCCCGTGTACAACATCACCCCGGAGAAGGTGGTGCGAGCGGTGATGCATTTCCTGCAGCAGCCCGTGCCCAGCCTGGAAAAAAAAGCATCTGAGTAGGGGTTGTCTCTGCTGCCCCCCCCAGACTGTGTGGAGCAGCCCTGCCCCGGGTGTTTTGGTGCAGAGCGAGGTCCTCAGGGTGCTAGCAATACCAAAAACCTGCTCCCGTGGCCACCAGCTCCTGCCGCCATTCCCGGTGGTGATCCCGGTGCCATAAAAGTGGCCGAGGGGTGCACGGGCCGTTGTCAGAGCTGTTCGGAATCAATAACCCCCCAAGTAAGAGCTGCCCCGTGTTGCGTGTGTGCAGTGGGGAAGAGCTGCCACCACCTCCGTGTCACGGTGTGGGGCTGGGAGGTGGCACTTGGCTCCAGTCCTGGTGTCACCTCCTGCCCCAGGAACGTTGGGAAGTTAAAGTAAGGCCTTTTTTGTCCCATTTTATTCTTTTTATAGTCTTATAGTAAAGGGAAGCCTCAACTTGCAAGACAACTCTGGGCAGTATGTACAACATACCTTAGATCCATGGAATGAATTGGCATCGAAATGGGGACTGGGGGGGGGCACCTATAGGGCAGAGAGGGGACTCTAGAGATGAGAGAATGCCACAGAGGTGGGGAGGTGGGGAAAGGGCTGGGGGGGGTGACAGAGGGAAGGAAGGCGGGGACAGGATGCACACAGAGAGCACCCAGCCTGGCTCTGTGCTGTGGAAAGAGGGGGTGCAGGCGTTGTGTGTCCCCCCCAAAGCTCCCACAGGCTTTGGGGGCAGTTGGAATTGCACACACAGAGAATAAATAGC